TGGCAGAGCAGTGGCACAGGCTGCCCAGAGAGGTGGGGGAGTCTCCCCCTCTGGAGCCATCCCAAACCCGCCTGGATGCCGTCCTGTGCCACTGCTGGAGGTGCCCCTGCTCTGGCAGGGGGTGGCACTGGGGGAGCTCCAGAGGGCCCTTCCGACCCTCACCAGTCTGGGATTTTGTGTCCTCCCTTCCTGAGCGGGTTCCTTCTCTTTTCTGCAGCCAGCCCTCGTGCCCCAGCCCCCCTGCCTTGGGGTCTCCTGGGACAGTGCCCCATCAGCCCTGCTCCCCCCAGGGCTGCCACCACCTTCTCCGCTGCCGCTCCTCCTGCTCCTTCCCCTGGCGCACGCTCCACTGCCACCATCTTCTCAGTACACTCATTTCTGCAACTCGACGGCTGCTCGCCCTGCACGCCCGCGCCGGCCAGGCCCAGCTCCCTGCTCTCCCCTCCTCCAGCCCATCTCCAGAGCTCGGCCTTCTCCTCAGAGCAGAGAGCTGAGACAGGAGGCACTTGCCTCCAGCGGGACTTCCCGCTCCCCAGTGCTCTGGGCAGGGGACAGCTTTCCAGAGGAAGCTTTGTTTGGGGTCCGGTGGAGGTCGCTACCTGGTGACAATAACGTGCTTGTTCCTCTGCGGCCTGGATGTGGCAGGCAGCCATCAGCTGAAGAGCCCAAATGTATGGTTCCTCCCCGCGGAGGCCTTCCGGGACGCCCCATTCTCTCCTTCGGCTCTCTAGGGACCGGCTGCTCGCCCGGGGCTGGCCGGGGGCCTTGGCACGTAAACCCGATGTGTGATTTGGGTGCCTTAGTGACCTGGGCTGGATCCTTCCTCTGACTGCCTGTCCTTGGCTGCTGTCCTGCCCCTTTCAACTTCCATTTCAGCCTCGGGCTGCTCTCTCTGACTCTTCCTCTAGCCTTGACTTCCAGTCCCGGTCCGTTGTCCCTGGCTGTCCCATAAACCTGCAGCTCATTGTCCCGGTCTGCTTTTCCTCTAGGTCAGCCCTTATCCCTGGTGCACCCACTCTCCTCCGTGCTCGTGTGCGCTGGCATGGGAGTCACTGGGATGCCGGAGGCAGGAGACGGCCCTTCCAGCCTTCCTGGCCTTTGATCCTGCAGACAGCCCAGTCTGACCAGTAGCAACCAGGAATACCAGTTGCTGGGAAAGGCGTGGCAGGGTCCTAGATGATGTGTGTGTGCTCATTAGCACTGTGCAGACAACAAACAGCCCGTGTGTGGGGCTCTGGCACGCGTAGCAGGAGATTTTGCCAGATTTCATCAAGTCTGGGTTTAGGGGTGTGTGACTTCTCCCGCTGGATTTTCTCTGAAACAGCGAAAGGGTACGTCCTCATATGAGAGCCCTTCTCCTCTTTGGTCTCTTCTCCAGAGTATGAGCACGTAAACAATTACAGCTTTTGAGTAATAATGGTTTTAAGGGTTTTGTTTTAAACTGGCAAAACATGTATTTCCCTTGCTCATTCTTGAATAATTTTTGGACAATTTTGCAAGCTGTTTTTCCGAAAATACAGAATTTGTGCCAAGCATGCCTTAAAGAAAATTAAAGTCTGAACTGATCATCTTTGCCAAAGCTTAAAGCCACTGAAAACGAGTTCCTAAAGCTGGAAGTGCTGGGCATCCTTAGGAGGTGATGCAGCCGGACCTGCTTATGTCACTCTCTCCTCCCCTGCTTTAAGCAACCTCATCTTTGCTCGTTGTTTCTGCCCAGTGCACAGGGGTGCTCTGCGCGCACCGCTTTCACTGCGGGAGGGTTTTTCCCTTCCCCGATTCTTCCCCCGTTCACCTCCACAACATTACTCTCTGGCTGAAACTGGGCTGGGCTTAGCGAAGATGGGTGCTGCTAGCGCTGTAGCCTGCGCGAGCGACCTGCAGCCGCCCCGGTGGGCTCTTTTCTCCTCCCAGACGGTTTGCTAAGGTGTAACACTTGCTCCCTTTCCAGCTGAGAGCCCAGCTGGGGTGATGTTCTGTTGAATATTTACTGTGCCTGAAGGACGTGATTTTGTGATGTTTTACAGTGCTTCATTTGGTAGAAGTAGTGACCTCAGCAGTCCCTACATTTCAGCCAGTCGCAATACATCTCTAGCTACCTCACCCACTACCATTGGTTCATCTACCTCCTCGGGCACCCCGTGGCAACCTGTCTCTGCCTGTCCCACAGCTCTCGGTGCGAACACTACTGCATCAGCCCGCCAGTATACCAGGTAACGGCTCACAGCTGAGATAACGCTGCAGAAAATCAGCATTTGGGTTGGAAGTTCTGAATTCTGGAGTGGATTATGGATTGGAAGCGGGCTCCCGTGTGGGAAGCGCCGATAGGAAGTCCCGGAGTGGTTTAGGTGGGACAGTTTCAGTAGTACACGTGCACCAGCAGGCAGTTAAGAGCCCATATGGGACCTCAGCTTCTTCACTCACCGGAGCGGTCAGTCGGGCCCTCTCGCTACCCTGTTAGAGACACCGTGTGTTGCTCAGGCTGCTCTTGGGCGTGCAGTGCACGAGCTCGTGGAGTTCATTCCTTCTGCTTATTCACCAGGTACATTTTCTAATCATTTTTGCTATGAACAGGGAAGTGAAGACTATGAATTCCTCCTGCTTATTCTTCTGCAAGTTTTTAAAAACTCATTTTAATGTGTACTGTTCTCTACAAAAACACCAGTCTAGAACAAGGAGAATGAACTGTCAGCGCTGCCTCGAGGTGGCTGGTCTCGGTCAGCGGTTGAGTTCACTTGCTTTGCTTTCCGTTATGTCTTCTCTATTTCAGAGCCCCTTTCAGGCAACAAACTGATTCTGCTGTAGAGAAAAATACAGAGGGCATCTCTGCTAGCACCCCCCTAGGTGTAATCACAAATCGTGCTGTACTCGGCTCTGCTAATGGTATTGTGAATGCCGGTGCTGCCTCAACTACAGGAAAGGACTTCTCAGCTGAGGAAGCCAGGGAGCGCAGAAGGTCAGTGGGCAGAGTGCCGGTGTGTGTCGGTCCTCCTCTGTGATCAGGTCTCATGCGGCGGTGACGGTGGGGGTGTAAGAACTGTTTTTTAGATGCTGCAGGGAGTTACAGGCTGCTGCCCCTGCTCCATCTCAAGGTTTTGAATTGAGTCATCGCTGGCTTGTAGGTTAAATTTAGTTTCATAATTTTCTACTTGTCTTTTCAGCCTCTCAGCCTTTTTTTTTTCAGTAGTCATCTCAGCTACTAACCTCAATCCCGAAGGCCTCTATGTGCAGAGGGACAGACAGCCCGGCAGCCGCTTGCAGTAGGTTCTGTAGCATGAACCCCATCCTAAAAAGAGTGTTGGGCTGAGACACGTTCAGATTCAGTCCACCCTCTGATTCTGCTCAGCTAGGCTTCCCTACGCCCCGATGGAGTCATCTTTGCTGCACAAGTCTCCTAAATTCCCTCGGCAGTAAGTGGGGGAAAACAGACATTCCTGGAGCGTGTGGATGTGCGATCCAGGAGGAGATGGACTACGCTGTAGCAGTGTGCGTTTCCTTCGATTGACGTGGAAAGAAGGCAGTGTTAGCGCAGAGGCAGAAGTTCTGCCGTTTGAGGCTATTCCAGCAGTAGCAGCATTTTGAATCACTCCGAATGTAGCTGGTGGTGTCTCTTTTTTGTCATGTGGTGTTATTTTAAGGCTGGGGAAATATAAAGCTGGGGGAGCCGGTGCTCTTTTCAAAAGAAATTTACCGTGTGCGTTTAAGTATGGAATATCAAATGATCAATACTGCAAACAGGTTAACTTTTGCAAAATCTGTCTCCTCTGATGGCATCGATGAAAGTAAATGGTACTAAAATGCAGCGATGAGCTGTGCATTTCTAACTAGCAACCAGCTCGTGGAGTGCTAAAATAATAACTTGTTAAAGTACAGATCTTCCTGAGTGGAGGTAGTACTCTGACATGTTTTAAATGGCCTGAAGCCAAAGGATGTGAAAAGCAATAATGGGAGGTACCGGTTTGCAGAGGGGAAGGTGGCAGAGCTCAGCAGTGCCGGGTAATCTGCAGTCGGCCACGTGGGCTCTCCCTCGGAGGCCGGGCGAGCGTGCTGCGGGCTTCTCTCCGCTTCGGCTGCCGCAGATCCAAGAGAGGAGGTGGTCTGTGCTATTTGGGAAACAGTCAAACTTTTAATGCTGTTTTGGGCTTTTTTTCTTTTTTTCTTTTTTTTTTTTTGTTTTTTCCAGAGCTAACACAGGGAGCGCTTTGAAGGTATTGCAAGCGATGAGCTGCGTTCGTCACCTCCGTGTGCAGGGACGTAATTTGAAATAGCCACTGCAGAGTATCTCTGCCTGTGAGAACACTTCCATTCGGTATTGGCAGTGCCTCTGTCTGCTCCTTGTCGTTTTGTGGGGTCAGTGGGCTCTGTGCCATTTGCAATTGAATTGAGATGAGCTGCCAAAAGATACTCCCGGTGCAAAGTGAGATTGTGCAAAAAGAGGACAGAGTGAGGATTGTGCTTTCAGTTCACACTTCAGGCGGTTTCGCAGCAGTAGCTCCATTTTGGCAAGCCCCAAATCAAGTTACAGAAGCTTTAGATTTTTTCCCTGGAGAAGTGGGCTCTGCAAAACTCACCAGACTTTTGGCACTGGCTGCAGATGGAGAACTTGACTGTGACAGTACTTGTAAATGCCCAAAAGAGCATCTGTTAATATTAGTGCATTGGCATTTATTGCCGAATCAGTTTCTATAAATAATATAGATCTGTTTAAGTCCCCTGCATTTTTATTAGAGAACCATCTCCTATGAATTATGCTAATGCAAAGAGAAACACCAGAAAATTCCTCCCACCTTTAATTGATGCTTTGAAACTACTGAGAGGGGGGAAGAAAGCCCAGCAATGCTGCATTTTGCTGGTGGGTGGAGGAAACCTGATTTATGAATGTGTGTTCTACCGGCAGGATACACTGACTGGGGAACTGCCTGCACGTTTTGAACTGGGAAATGTGGACCCAGAGAAACAGGAGAGGTCACCTAAATGGCAAAAGCTTTTTTTGGAAGGAGACCAATTCCAGTAAAATAAAATAAAAAAGGAAAATGGCAAACAGTTGTCGGGGAAGCACTGTATGGATTTCAGTTCCCACCGGCAGCTGTTGCAGTAGCATTTGGTCTGCTTCAGTGTTTCCAAAGCTCCAGCTTTCTCTTAGCAACAAAAACATAAACAAGCTTATCATCTAATATTAGATCACAGGGATGTCTCCTAACTTGTGGCCTTAAATTGTCTGCACAAAGCCAAAAGGTTAAAGCAGAAGAGACTGGTAGGTGTGGGGAGAAACCACTAGCGAAGCGCTCTGGCACGCTGGTTTGCGTCCTTTGGTGGCCAACAAGCCTCACCCGGGCCCACCGTAGTGTTCCATCCACCTGTTTGCTGGCTAAACTGGTCAGCAACCGCTCCAGTAGCTGGAAAATAGTGTGGATAGTGCCTCACCTGGTTACAAAGGGGAGGAAAGAAATAAGAGAGGAGAAGGTGGCTCGAGAGAAAGCAGTTTGGAGGAATGCGGTGCAGTCTGTCCACCTGGACGGACCGGAGCGATTCGCCGCCTGGTGTTGGAGCCATATGTCTTGGATGTTCGGCCAAGCTGCTGCCGTGTGTATTTACATGTACCCAGCTGCACGCTGAGCCTCCCCTCATTCCGCCGCAGCGCTGCGGCGTGCTGATGCTGAGAGGTTGGAAACGTGCCATCTTCCAGAGTCAGTATTTTTTTTGCCGGGCAATTTCTTTTTCTTTTTCGTGGGAATTTTGGGGCCACCGGTGAACTTTGCTGTTTGGCCGTTTGGGGCTCCCGCTGGTGTCAGATTGTCTCACGTTGCAAATGCATTTGTCCAGTTGAACTCAAAACGGCACTGGCTCTGCTAAGGGCGAATTGCAAGCGCGTGGACGCTGTGCCTACAGTATCTCACGTAGACCCTGTTCTTCCTGGGGCAAAACTAACATCCTTTTCGTTCCCGCTTGGTGCAAGCAGGTGGGGGGGACTTGGGGGTTCCTGTTGGCTGCAGCCCACTGCAGGATTATCCGCCTTCGTCCAGGAAGACAGCGGCCTCTAGTGCCACCAAAAGCTCCTTTGCAAAGTTCATCCGTGACTTTGCCTGTGCAGTTTCAGTGCAGGGCTCCGTGGCCACAGCTTCCCCTCTCTCCGGAGGTCTCTGCAGCCCCTCTCGGGGTTCCCCGTCTCACAGGCTCCCTGCGCGCTGCAGGCTGCTCAGAGCTGCGTCCCCTCGGCGTGGAGAGGCATCTGCAGGAGATCTTGCCAAGCTGGACCGTGACTTGTGCCATGAGACGACTGGTGCCCAAAGGAAGGTCTTGGAGGATCTGTGTCTCTCTGAAGCCTTTGGTGTCGTACGAAGGCTGTGGTTCCCCGGACACGCTGAAGGGCACCGTGCAGCCCACAGCCGGTGCTGAGCTGTCGGCGGGGGGGGTGAGACATGCTTTGCCCAAGAACTTCTGCGAGACAAGTCTGTGTTCCCAGTTGTGTGACCGGTTTAAAAGGACACTCCAGAATTTGTAATCTGGCCTGGTTTTGTAAAAATTAGGATTTTAATTTGTCCTTCCTCTTTTTTTTCCCTCCCCCAGCCACTTTGTTTATACAGTTGCATTCTGCAATTGTATTTGTTCTTCCTGTTTCTCAGGAAGGTTCCAGCAAGGTGGTAGCACTTGCCATCAGGCAGACTCTCAGTTAGAGACAGGAAACACGTCTCCTTTCCGTATTTTTTAATGCGCTCTGACCAGTTTTTCAGATCAATCAAGAACAGGAGTGAGGTGGGCTGGTTTTCCTAGCGGCTCTGGGGCCGGCGGCAGTGCTCCACCTGCCCCCTCGCCCCCTGAGTGTCCCCTGGAAGTATCTTTTCAGATGAAGAAAGTTACTGACGTGCAAGGTAAATGTGTCTAGCAAACATTTCTCTTTGCTACTTCATTCCCAAGAGGAATGTATTTTTCAGTCTTCGTTCCTTCATTCTAAGGATCCAGCCGCTAATTATAGTAGCATATATTAATAATATATTAATAACTGAATCCTCCTCCACTGGTACTGTTAGATGAACAATTTTTGGCAAGTCCTTTTACCTCGTGATTCTTGTCCTGTCCAAATTCAGAACATGACTCCTCTAGGGTGAGCGTGCATGCCCAGTGTGTCTGTTAACCCTTATTATCAGACCAAAAAAAATAAGAAACCCTGATCTCTGTTAGAGTTACACTTATGAAATTTGCATCTGAGAGGTATTTAAAAGTCACTTGAGAGGAACTGGTAGAAGAAGCTGTGAGCGTTGTCTTGTGACCGATTTGGGGTTTTTTCAGTAGTATCTGACTCTCTCATCCTTATCACTGACCGTCGTAATGCTGAGTGGTCTCTGATTCTCCGATTCTCCTGGGAAAGGTGCCTGGGAGCAGCGCGGTGGGGATGCTCGTGCAGGGCGCCGCTGCGTGACAAGGGACAGGTTCCCGACCACACTGTGCAGCGGCCAACAAAAAGTTAAGAGGTCTCTCTTGTGCAGGACTGAACAATCATCTGGCACCTGCTGTCGAAAGCATTTATCTGCCATGCTCCTGCAGTTAATCTCTTTCAGATAAAGTTGTCCTTTTTTTAAAAGGCTGCCGGTGCGGATGACGTGGGAGGGCAGGAATCCTGCTGGCCGTGGGATTGTCCATGTTGGGAAGAGGGGAGATTGCTCCTGGTGTATCAGAAATCAGGCTGCATTTTTATTTGGCAAAAAGGTCGAGGTGTGGGATGGGGGTCAGCGCTGCCCAGCCGCGTTTCCTCTAAAGACGGCGAGCAGGTGTGGTGCTGCGTGCTCAGCTGCCCACTGACTTTATCCAGCGCTCTGGGAAAGGAGGGGGGGGGGATATTTTGGCATTTGCTTTGGGCGGAGGAGCCCGGGCTGTAGGTTGGCCTGCTAACACCAAGCGGGAATATATGCGGGATCCTCCAGGAATGGTCAAGGAAAGGAAGCAGGGACCACTTGAGCT